TTAAGCTTCTCACATTAAAGGGCTCTGTAAATAGTTCTGGTGATCATAGTCATCTTCACTGATTATAAAAAAAAGGGGCAGGCAGCTAATTGGAAACTGATGACAGAGTATACCCAGTGCTCAAGTGCTTGCACTTAGTAGTCTAGATTCAGAGAAAATTAGAGCTGGAAAAGACGTTTGCGTGTCATATTTCTTAAGGAGAATGTGGTCGCACTCCAAGAGTTGCATGTGATATCATATGAATGTATTTTGGTATCATAGTTCACTGATCTCTCTCTCATTAGTTTCATGACTATAATTTTCAATGCAGTGTGTTTCATTACCAACCTGTTTCCTTTTCAATTTATTCAGAAATTGTGTCATGTTTGACCTGCCATTTTCATGGTCCTCTAACCTTTTGTCGGCTAGTAACTTGTTTCAAAATTTGCATGTTCATTTTAAAAGCAATTAGAAGAATCTTTACATTCACAAATCACCTTAATTAAATTGGGAAAAAATCAGCAAATCCAGAAAAATTACAGCATTTTAAAGAATGTGGCTTGAAGTATATGTGGTTTCTGTAAAAAAAATTGTTCTGAATCACTAGAAGATATGTCTACCAGAGAGCTAATATTTGATTCTTCTGTATGCTTGTTTCCTTAGTTGCTGACAAGGCTGCCTACCTGATGGGTCTAAACTCAGCAGATCTGCTCAAGGCCCTCTGCTACCCCCGAGTCAAAGTTGGGAATGAATATGTGACCAAGGGTCAAACCGTGCAGCAGGTAAGAAACAAATGATGGTATAAAACAAATGACATGAATTAAAACCTTTGAACTTCCTCTTTTGACCTAGATGGTAACTTTTGCTTTTCTTTAGGTATACAATTCAGTGGGGGCCCTGGCAAAATCTGTCTTTGAGAAGATGTTCTTGTGGATGGTTGTTCGCATCAACCAACAGCTGGACACCAAGCAGCCCAGACAGTACTTCATTGGTGTCCTGGACATTGCTGGCTTTGAGATCTTTGATGTAAGAGGAGGATCTTCATACAAGTTTCCTAAAAGGGGCATTAAGGAACTGGAATAAGTTTGGGGTTGGGTTATTTTTCTTCATTAACAGGTTGGTTTTATTTGCTGGTAAATCAGTAAATTGTCACTATTCTGGTTCTCATAGTATGTATTACTGTACAAGGGCTGCAGATTTTATAGATTTCTCTTGTTGCATGCAGAAATGAAAATTGCATTGAAAACTAATATGAAAATGTTGAATAACTGATAAGTAATAGGAGAGAAAGATTTTTGAAAAAGTTATATACACCATCTTGAAGGAAAATTTTATTAATGCTGAAGCTAGATTCCTTACCAATGCCTGGCCACAAATTCAAGTAGATGAAAAGCTGGATTTGGACTAAGCTCTGCAACTCTTTTCAGAGCTCAGAAATATGTTGAGGCAGGATACTTTAGAGGATGAGACTGTCCAGTCCCATGACTAAATATTCACGATCCCAATCAGGGAGACTTTAATGGGTTGAAAAGACAAACTCTTGGAAGATAATAAGTGTTCCTAGAACTTAATTTCAGAAGAAAGTAAATCTCTGCGTTCTGCAGTTCAACAGCCTGGAGCAGCTGTGCATCAACTTCACCAATGAGAAACTGCAACAGTTCTTCAACCACCACATGTTCGTGCTGGAGCAGGAGGAGTACAAGAAGGAAGGAATTGAATGGGAGTTCATTGACTTTGGGATGGACCTGGCTGCCTGCATTGAGCTCATTGAGAAGGTTCTTGTGCTCTATATACTTAATAGCTTTCCAAACGTAAAATGTAAAAGGAATCTTCAATGCTCAGATTAGACCACTCTGATATGTAGCACTCACACTTAATGCAGCACATAACATGGTCATTTCTGGGCTTCAGGAATTTCATATACATTTTCATTTGCCTTTTACTTCACTCTCTGTGAGATTCTGTTGCATAATATAGTGTGTATAGCACAATAATGATTTACATTAGGAAAAAAAAATGCATCTCCTTTCACTGTTCTGGAGATCATACTCAAATGTGTGTATAATTCTACAGCATGCTGAATGAGTAAATACTCTAAGCAACTTCTGTTTTAATATGTTTAATGACATTTTCTATCCTGTTTCCAAGAAAAAGCATTTGGGAAGTATAAATTCTTCTTTACATCTGAATGCTACTAATTTCAGTCATTTTGCTTTCCATGTTCTACTAACATGTACTTACTGAATTACTACATGGTAGTTCTTTATTACATCACAACCCTGAAACTTATGGCTGAGCTTGACTTCATAGGATGCATGCATAGCCAGTAACAAAATGCCCTTTCTGGAAAATCATAAGATTACACTTTCTGAGAAGAGTTTTTTTGTATAGTTTTTATCTTCTATTCACCTCTCATTTACCTTCTTTCTGATTCTTTTGCTTCCACACTTTCTTCATGTATTCATATTTCCCCCAGCCCATGGGCATCTTCTCCATCCTGGAAGAGGAGTGCATGTTCCCCAAGGCAACTGACACCTCTTTCAAGAACAAGCTCTATGACCAGCATCTGGGCAAGTCCAACAACTTCCAGAAGCCCAAGCCTGGCAAAGGCAAGGCTGAGGCCCACTTCTCCCTGGTGCACTATGCTGGCACAGTGGACTACAACATCACTGGCTGGCTTGAGAAGAATAAGGATCCCTTGAATGAAACTGTTGTGGGGCTGTACCAGAAATCATCCCTGAAGACACTGGCTTTACTCTTTGCCTCTGTTGGTGGGGCAGAAGCAGGTGATTTTTTTTTTTTTTTTTTTTTTTTTTTTTAAATTAGTTTCACTATAATTTACAGAGGGGAAAAAAAAAATTGCAATTTTTTTTTTGGTAATAATATTTACATTTCAAAACTTGAAAACCCCAAACTTCATCTGCTTTTTGGAACTCAGTCACTCAGACTAAGAAAGGATATTACACTTCCCTAGAGACATCTGTAGGTTTTTAAGACCTCTACTACATTAACACAGGCTAGCTGACAAACCAGATCTCTGCAATACGGGGCATTCTCAAATACTTAAGGGAAGTATGTATCAACGTCCTGTTAAATTTATGCATATCCTTAGATGTAAAGGTATATAAATGCTGTTTATGTATCTTTAAAATAAAAATTATTTAATTCCTTAAATATCTTACTGTGCTACATTTTTATTACCTGTTTGCATTTTCTTAACTTCATCCTGAAGTCATCAGATTGCTTTCTGCTGTCACGTGAAAAAAATCAGCTCCCATTGTAGCTTGAAATATTGTATGGATTTGCAACTTTTGATCATATTATTGGATTTTTCGATTCTTTTAAGAACACACCAAGTTCTTCAGATTCTAATCATATGCTTTTGTTTTTTTCCTTTGAAAAAAAATAAATTCCTGTTTAGAGAGCGGTGGTGGTGGTGGCAAGAAGGGCGGCAAGAAGAAGGGATCTTCTTTCCAGACTGTCTCGGCTCTTTTCCGGGTATTGTAGAGTAATTGTTATAAATTTCACCATGTTGAGAAAAGAATATAACAAATTCTGTTCAGAAAGGTTTTACATTGTTCTAGTTCACAAAATTTTTATGTCCAGAAAGGATAAAAGCATGTGCTTCTGTTCTGGATATTACTAGGATAGAGTCCATTTTCAGAAGAAATTGGGAAGGACCATAGCCAGGATAGATAATTAAACCAGCCAATGAGTTATTCAGTACCACACAGACATCATGCGCAGTATATAGGGTGGGAGTGGAGGAGGATGCTAGTTGTAAAAGCACTTGGGTTTTGGGCCAGGTGTTGGTTTTCAGGGCTAGGTGGTTCTGGACAGTGAGCACTGTGTTGTGTGTCACTTATTTTAGATATTATTCCTTTAGTACTCTTGTTGTTACTGTTGTTTCTTCTTCATGTTGTTCTAGTTTACTAGAACTTATCTCAACCCACAAGGTTTTGCCTTGTTCTCCCAATTCTTCTCATCCTCGTAGAGAGCGGTGGACAACAGGAGGGGCAATGAGTGAGCAGCTGTATTGCTGCTCAGGTACTGGTTGTGTTTAAACCATAACAGCTTCTTGATAAACAAGGATTCTCATTGAATCCTTGGAAGTATTCTTTCTCAACTGCCCAAAAGTTCTGGAAAAAAAAAAAATAAAGAAAAAGAAAAACAACAAAACAACACCAGAATGCTGATAATGGTTATTGCAGTTATTTTGCTCCATCTAGTATTGAGATTGTGTAGGTGAACATTTTTAAACCCTATTCTTTGCTCTTACTCTTAAGGAAAATTTAAACAAGCTGATGAGCAATCTACGAAGCACACATCCCCATTTTGTGCGATGTCTTATTCCCAATGAAACAAAAACACCTGGTAAGTTGTTAAAGTTCAAAGACGTAATAAATCTGTTCTTCTCGGTGCAGCGCAATGAAGTACCAATTAACTGTTTCTTTTGTTAGGTGCCATGGAGCACGAGCTGGTGCTGCATCAGCTGCGCTGTAACGGTGTGCTAGAAGGGATTCGAATTTGCAGAAAAGGATTCCCCAGCAGAATACTCTATGCAGACTTTAAACAGAGGTTAGATTGAATGTTACCCACCCTCCACCATACCAACCAATGTTGAGTAATTTCATTCCCTAACTGTTTTAGCTACTATGGAAGTTATGGTAAGGCTTCATTGTACCTACCTTTAGGCATACAGAAGTCAATTTTCCAAATTACTAATCCAATTTCTTTCTATAGCTAACTAGAAGAACAGGCATTTTCAAAAGGTATTTATTTATTCTTGTCATTTATTTTTATTCTGGTATGGGACAAATAATTTGTTAATTTACTATCCAGAAATCAAGTTGCCTAGCTTAGACTTATTTAACTTCTGGGTAGCTAAGTAAGACGACTCGCAGTCATCAGCTCAGAAATGTGAATAAACATATCCCTGCTGCTATTCTAGATAACAAAAAGGTATTCTAGGCTAACTTATTGGAAAACAAAAGAAAATCAAAAGATCTTGCTTATTGTTCCATACTAGCCAGAAAATACTCAAACAGTATGTACTGCCACTATTTTGGATGAGGAATTGCTTCACCTCTCCTCCTCTCCGTATATTTTATTCTTGTACATAGAGTTCTCATTTGGAGATAAGGCACTAGATAATAGGATGTGAAATATGTCAGAACTTAGTCATGGAAAAAAGTACCCATTCTGTGTCAAGAATTCTGGATGAAGGAAAGTGCAAGCTTTTTCCTAAAAATACATTTCCCCATGAAAATGTGATTTCTAAACAATGGAACAGAGTTCAGATTTACCTCTCCACCTGCAGAGAATCCTAACAATAGCATCAGATAGTACAGGTTTCATTGAGCTTCCAGGAATCAACCTTCTATCTGTTTCACTTCCTCCCATAGGTACAAGGTGCTTAATGCCAGTGCCATCCCAGAGGGACAGTTCATTGATAGCAAAAAGGCTTCTGAGAAGCTCCTTGGATCCATCGATGTGGACCACACCCAGTACAAGTTTGGTCACACTAAGGTACAAATGCTGCCTGACTGATGTACTCTGCTTGCAATACCTGACAATGACATGCTGCAACATTCTTTTTTTCTGAAGGTGTTCTTCAAAGCTGGGCTGCTGGGACTCCTGGAGGAGATGAGAGATGAGAAGCTGGCACAGCTCATAACCCGCACACAAGCCATGTGCAGGGGTTACCTGATGAGAGCGGAGTTCAAGAAAATGATGGAGAGGAGGTAGATACTTAGACTTATTTGTTTGGCTGGGCCAATTCTCGTGAAGTTTCAATGACATGAAGACAAGTGAAAATAAACTGCTTCTCACCAACCCACATTTATTTCTCATTAATTCAGTTTACCAATATGGATGTGTTTGGGAGTATATCCTGACAGAAGATTAATTAGCATAAAATCCCAATCTCTGAAAAAAAAAATATTCTTAACTTATATCACCCTTTGTATTAATTTCTGCTAAATTAACTAAATGGCTACATTATATATATATCTCTATCTACAGATATCTACTCTAAGCTAATTGTTTTAAGGTCACCATTATAATCAAAGACAAGAAACATATACTTCCAGCACAAGAGAAGTATCCTTTTCCATTGGATAACTTTCACGAAAAGGACCAAGTGAGCTTCTGAAGGTGTTCCTTTTCTTTGGCCACAAAAGGGAGCCAAGCATATGGACTTCAAAACTGTCCATACAAGTTGACAATCTACATCACTGTAGAGAATTTTTTTTCAGAGAGATATATTTCATATGTATTTAATATACTAAATATTGTTACTAAATATATATATATTTTATATACACACGTATATAGAACTATAACTGTAAAGTATTATACGTAGAACTTCACATTATACCTATTGATAATGACAAATAAACATGTATTATAACTTTAGAAATATGTAGCATAACCTGTTTTTATTACATTTCAGGGAGTCCATCTTCTGTATCCAGTACAATGTTCGCTCCTTCATGAACGTGAAGCACTGGCCCTGGATGAAGCTGTTCTTCAAGATCAAGCCCCTGCTGAAGAGTGCAGAGTCTGAGAAGGAGATGGCCAACATGAAGGAGGAGTTTGAGAAAACCAAGGAAGAGCTTGCCAAGTCTGAGGCAAAGAGGAAGGAGCTGGAGGAAAAAATGGTTTCTTTGCTGCAGGAAAAAAACGATCTGCAGCTCCAAGTGCAGGCAGTGAGTATTGTTAATATTTTTGGCTTGTAATGTCCCATATAAAATGATCCCAAATGTCTCAGTAACAGACACATTACCCCCAAACAGTATTTATTTTAAAAACATACATATATTTTATAAAATAAAAAGGAAAATCATAAAGAAAAGCTAAGCTGAAATCTACAAATATAAAAAAAAAAAATCAATTAATTACCGCAGCAGGTTCCTTACACTTTTAAATCAAGAGAGAAGTAATCGATTTCCAGTGACTAAATACTACAGTATACAATATGACATTTTAAATCATACATGGCAACTTACAGCATCAATTACCATGTCTTTTTAAAACTTTACATACTACATACATAATTTTGATATGTTATTGTCTGATCAACAAAGGCAGTCTGGAGTGTCTATTAACACCTTTTATATGGAGAAACACAAGTGGATTCACATGGAGTAGGAGGGGCTGAGAGTGTCAGGCATTTCTCTAGCATTCATAGTTCCTTTGTCCTCTGGAAGAACAGTGAAGAAAGCGGAGTCCACCCCTTTTCTCCTAGAAATAAAAAGGCAGCAACTGTAATTCCCTTAAAAGTGTCTTTACTAGCAAGCATTAGGATTCATTTGATGTCTACGGTCTAGAAGTCTGCATTCAAGCTAGTAGCCTCAGGTCAACTTCAACTTCATCAATGAAGAAACTCATGCTTTTAGGCTATGATACAATTTGTCCAAAACCGTAATTCTTTTTGTTTGTTTTTTTTTTGTTTCTTTTTTTTTTTGTTGAGTGGACTGTACCTTCATTTCATGGCAGATATCTAAATCTACATGAGACAAACCCAAAGCTAGCTATCTTGCTGAGCTCTAAGAAGTCTTCTACCTTGATGGTGTCATTGGTCTCCACTAGAGAAAAGAGGAAAAAAACTAGTAGTATATAGAAAGTAAAGTTTACTTCTAAGTAACTTACATGTTAGAATGCATGTAAATTCAGGTAATTGACACTGCCCTGGTGAACAAGTCTCCCTTCCAAACTGTTCTTGAAAACAAGGGCTATAGATCTGCCTGATTCAGCTGGTGCCTTTGAAAATGTGATCTTAAAACAAAATTTTGTCAAAACTAAAAATTAAATTCATGTTCAGTAAATATTTTGAGGAAATCTGCAGCAAGATATTCTCAGCTGAATGTTAGACTTTTTTATTCTTCATGTTTTAAACACTGCATGTTAAAATAATTCTGTGTACACGGACCTTTCAGTAGAACTTGACACCTGTTTCCAGTCCAGATAAATGCAACATGAGTAAAATGATGAAAAGACACCAGGGAAATGCTGCCATACTGATATCAGGCTCTATGTTCAAATTAATGTTGGAGTTACATGAGTAGTTACAGAGTTGTTTGTTTGTTTTAAATGCTCAGAGCCTATATATTGTGAAAATACATTCCTTTGTTTTCTGGGTCAGAGGCAGTCCAAAACAAACAGATACTGTTATAATAGTGGGGTTTAGTTAAAAAAAAAAAAAAAGACATTGTAAAGCTGCTTTGAAAATAGTAAGTCCCTGTTTGAAAAGAAGTAAGAAAAAATAATTATTTGAGAACTATTTAAATCAATCATGTGTAGGAAGCTGATGGTTTGGCTGATGCTGAGGAAAGATGTGACCAGCTCATCAAAACCAAAATTCAGCTGGAAGCCAAAATTAAGGAGCTAACAGAAAGAGCAGAAGATGAAGAAGAGTTGAATGCTGAGCTGACAGCCAAGAAGAGAAAACTGGAGGATGAATGTTCAGAGCTGAAGAAAGATATTGATGATCTTGAGTTAACACTGGCCAAGGTTGAGAAGGAAAAGCATGCCACAGAAAACAAGGTATGAGGCAGAACCTGTGATCACACTCTAGAAAACATCTGTGTTTTGCTATTAAGT